CCACCCCCCCAGGAAAGCAAAAAAGGCGGGGGGGGGGGGGGGGGGGGGGGGGCTGTGGAGAGTGGAGAGGTCTGGGTGCGTACAGATGTGTGTGCCAGCCAAGCAGGTGGTTGTTGTGTGTGTTGTTGTGTGTGTGCGGATAGTTCGCCGCGCTTCAAGAATCCCGCGCGGCCGTGATTCTGTTCGAGAAATTTTTACTGAGCGGTTGGTGTCTGCCTTCTTTTCCGCTCCAGGGAAAGAAGAGTTACCATAAAATACTGCAGTGCATTTGAGCGGGGCATCGATCTAGATAGACACGGCAGACAGGTTGGGCGATGCACGGGAGCGAAAATTGCCGGCGCTGATTTGCTGTCTGTCTGCTCAGACACCATGACGGCGGTGGGGCGTGGGACGTGTGACACAAGGGGTTAAAATTTGCTGACAGAGATATGGATGTCGAAGAGAGGCGAATAATGAAAAAACAAAGACTTCCCATGTGCTGCCGCCGGCGCATCTTCCGACAAGAGCAGCAGAGCAGCTGGGGTTTTTGGGGGGATAGAAAGTAACGCATCTCTCTGAACCCGAGGCAAGCAGGTGACAGCAGTACCCCAATCGTAGCAGCGTCATCTTGACCGTACCCAGCCATAGCGGGGACGATCTTTCGCGCACCCGCAGCACCCACGCCCCCTCCCCTCTTTCGTGGCACCCACACACATACACGCCCTCTTTGTTGAAGTAAAAAAACATGCGGATAAACCGGCCGGCAATCACGGCGGGAGCAGAGGGCAACAATAAAAAAAAACATGCATGCACGGCACTTACTTGTACCACGGGAAGCATGCGTCCGTGCACTTGAGGCAGCTGATCGCGCAGGAGTCCGTGCAGGACTTCTCGGGCTGGCGGGGAAGGGATTCGGAGGCGTCTGGGGCCATGCCTGCAGGCCGTGTATCGATGCTCTGGTAGTTGGCCATGATGATAGTTGTTGTTGTTTTGTGTCACCACAGCGCGGTTTGCCGAATGGAGAGAGGTGGGTGCGCGTGAGAGCACTACCTGCTGTAGTACCGCCGTGCGTGCCTGTCCTTGCTGCTGGGCGTGAGCACCCCTCGCGCTGCCTGTAGAGGTTTTCCGCCTTCGTCGCTGTTTTGTCCGGCTTGTTGGTGCGGAATGAGGGTTGGTTGCGAAGAGGTGTGGGCCGAGAAATAAAGTAGGCAGCAGCTGCGATGAAAGAGGGAGGTACTACATTGTGAAAGAGCCAAAATCCGATCCTTGTGGTCTGTAACGCACAGGGGCAGAGAGCGGGACGCAGAACGTTCTTCTTGCACATGCATATGTACAGCGCGGTATCATATCTTTGACCGCCTCCTGGATCTGGACTGGAGCATGTGAGATGATGGAGCTCCGGGACCACCTGCCGTCCAACCTCTGCTGCGGTGTGGGTTGATTTTAGCTAGTTGAAGTACTCGCCCGGGCTGTGGGATATCTTGTCCTGGTGACGCTGATGATGTAACATGCTTGTCGTCTCAGACCCCGACCAAAGGCGGTTTGTTTTCGAGGAAAAAGATCTTTGCGTGATGCTGTGACGAACGGAACAAAAGTTGACAACGTGAGATCGGAGAACATGCCATGCGCGTATCTTTCCTTTTGGTTTCTTCGGTTTTGCCGCCGACACCTACGATGATGGCATTGCGCGACCACCACTGCCGAGCCAGTTCTTCGACGTGTCGCCGTGGAGTGATGATGATGGCGAAGCTCATTCACGAAATTGTAGCTGTGGTGTGGCACGTGTCCGCCTCTCTCGGTGATCGAGACAACCCGTCGGGTGCCTGGTCCGACTCCACGTGAGAGGACAGGAAGAGGACCAGTACCGTAGGTTGCGTGATATACCCCACCCTCTGGAACGATTTTCAAAGCATCATTACTCCACGATGAAGCTAGACGCCGAAAATCCAAGGATACGTGTTGTCGGAAAGCTCTTGACAAGACGGTTCCAACGCCGCCATTTTCGGCACCGTCACACTGATTTTTTCCTGCCGAGTAAATCGAGCTTTGAAAATCGGGCCACGGGGTGTGATATCTTACGCAGCCTAACTAAACCTACGGTAGGCCATGTAGGCTTTACTATCATCATTTTTACGGCTGTACATCGGTCACACACAACCAGACACCATACACCACAACTCCGACTGTCAATAGTCTAATTTGTCTACTTGACAGAATTTGGATGAGTCCCCAAAATCCTGCCAAAACCCCCTCATGATGACAAGGATAGTCATCCGTGACAGCAGGACAACAACCAGGTTACAGGGGTACAGTAGATGCGCACCAAAAAGGGGAGTAAGTGCGGAGCATTGCTACAAGAAATGTAGCGTTCAGAAGGAAAGCGTTGTTTGTGGAAGGCGTTTGTTGAATTCGAAAGAAAGCAGGGGACGGGTGCTGAGCGTCCCCTGCGTGCAAAGTCTTCAGTCTTCTTGTGCACCCGCGTCTCGGGGAAGAGAACGCTAGTGCAGTCATACAACTAGCTGAGGAAGCAAGAGGAAGGAGCGTGGAAGTTAGGGCCTTGATCGATTTTGCCCATGGATCCATCAGTGCAAAATGCGGTCCAGGCAAAGATAGCAGCAGACGCAGCCGCGGCCGAAGCCGCACCCGCGTATGACGGCGCCGCAGCCAACGCCGCTGCACCCAACGCCGCCGCCGCAGACGCTGCCGCCGCTGTAAACGCTGCCGCAGCCGTTGTCGCAGCCGCCGACGCAGCCGCAGCTGCAGCCGCTCCCCCGGCAGCCGAGTACAACGGCGGCGACGCCCCCCCTGCAAACAACGGACCAGAGGAGGGTGCCGGCGCGAACCCACTCGGCGGTATCCAGGCCATGCTCACCCAGTTCATGAACGCTCACCAAGCTCAAATGGCGGCCTTACACCAACAGGTGGCGCAGCAGGGACAGATCCTGCAGCAGCAGCAGCAGCAGCAGCTGCAGCAGCAGCCACAACAGCAGCAGCAGCCACAGCAGCAGCAGCAACAACCCGCCGGCGGCATTCTTCCTCCCGCCAATGCACCGGTGGTGGCCGCTAGCGCCGCGCCGCCCGCCCCGGCGACCGCGGGGTCGAAGATGACGGAGAAACTGAGGGCTGAGGATTGGAAAGCGACGGGCCCCCTGTGGCTCCTCGCGCGGGGCGGATTCGACACTCGCGCCCCGGTCGACGTGCCCTTCGTTAAAATGGTCGCCGGCGAATACTCACACATCACAGAGCAGGGAGGGAAACAGATGTGCAGCCTGACGGACATATAAATCGAGCACTGTTTCCCGCCCAAGTCCGCCAACACCGCCCTCGCTGCCATGCCCGTGACGGTCCACTTCGACACCTTCATCACCGTGCTGTTCAAAACGATCGAGTACGGCATGGACACGGCCGAGGAGAATGCCAAGCTTCGCGTCGCGGCCTGGAGGGCGGAGTTCGCATCGATTACAAAGAAGCTGGCTACGTACCTAACCCTCCACTACACAGGCCTTCAGCCCCATGGAAACCGGGTCCGCAACGCCCTCCTGGATGCCATCAACCGCGGCTTGGAAGACGGTTTCCGCATTTTACACAAGATGGCATATGACCTACGCCGGACGCACCAGGACGGCCCCCCCACCGCGGACGCCACGGATGCCGTCCCATTTCCGCGATTCAAGCTCCTTAAGACCTTGCTCGAGGAAGATCACACCCAGAGTCTCGCGGAAAAGGCAGCCCAATCGCCTCTCCCCACCGTGGCCGCCGCCCTCGCCCCCGCCACGAGTGCAAAGCGGAAGAGCGGAACGGCCGGGGCCAAGACAGCGACAACCAAGCGGCAGCGGACCACGACCACGACCCCGACGTGCCCCCCCGGTTTCTGCAAGGGATGGTGGTTCAGCCGCCAGTGCCGCACTCCAGACTGCCAACTCCACCACGTACACGCCGGTCCCGCCCCCGCCACCTCCGCCGCTTCCCCACCCCCGCAGGTCCCGCCACCCCCGCAGGCCCCGCCGCAGCAGGCGGCGGCGCCGCAGCCGCTACCATCGCAGCAGCAGCAGCAGCAGCAGCAGCAGCAGCAGCAGCAGCTCCGCCAGCCCAGCGTGGGCAACTTCAGCATGACGGGCAACGGCGGCAGGGGCGGTGGAGGAGGGAACCAGGGGCGCGGCGCCGGAGGGAGGGGCGGTGGGGGGAGGGGAGGTTTCTGACAGGTTGGGCTCTGCCATACGGCAGGGCCGACAGTAGGTGCGGGAGGGGAGTCAGGACACGCTGGTACCTGGTTCGCCGGCGTCGCCAGGTCCGTGGGGCCTCGGGACGCGCCCACGCCGGGGTCGGTTTCGCCGGCCCTATTTCACGGTGAGCAACTCATGTTGAGCAATAACGGTCGCGCAGCAAGGTATAGGTGGACCAACCACACGAACCCGTCTGGTAGCTCCACCAACCTCGACGTAGCCGAATCTCGCCCACCTGTACGATCGGATAGTAGGTTGTCCCCACACTCCAGGGCCAGCACCCTCGAAATGTCGACACAACCACCGTTTCCTACACGAATTGACGAGATCCCGCCACGAACACGCGAAGCAGACCAACGAGTATCACCGCTTACCACAAAGATAGACACGTCATGTCACCTGTCTCCCACACAAGCCGCAGAAGTAGCTGTGTCGGACACAGGGAGACTGTCGTCTCTCCCACACCGCGTAGAAGTCGGCGATTCGGACACGGGGCTCGCCTCGCCTCTCACACGCCCCCCGGGGTACTCCGTGTCAGACGCGCGGCAGCCAACGTCTCCAACGCCGCTAGCAGCCTTGAACGCGTCAGCGGCGACGCATCGCCCGTCTCGCACACAGCTCCACGAGGCACGTGTACCAGACGAGGCACGATCGACGCTTCTCACTTCGGTCACCGCGCCTGGCGCGTCAGACACGACCTGTCCTCGAAGTCCCACCCTACCAGAAAAGGTCCAAGGGTCGGCACTACGACGGCAACCGTCTCTCACGCACCACGCACACTTCACCCCTACACAGCAGCTCCAGCGCAATACACAACTCACGTTGAGCAATAGCGGTCGCGCAGAAAGGTATAGGTGGACCAACCACACGCACCCGTCTGATAGCTCCACCAACCTCGACGTAGCCGAATCTCGCCCACTTGTACGATCGGATAGTAGGTTGTCCCCACACTCCAGGCCCAGCGCCCTCGAAATGTCGACACAACCACCGTTCCCTACACGAATTGACGAGATCCCGCCACGAACACGCGAAGCAGGCCGACAGGCATCACCGCTGACCAGAATGGTAGACATGTCAGGTCACCTGTCTCCCACACAAGCCGCAGAAGTAGCTGTGTCGGACACAGGGAGACTTTCGTCTCTCCCACAACCCGTAGAAGTCGGCGATTCGGACACGGGGCTCGCCTCGCCTCTCACACGCCCCCCGGGGTATTCAGTGTCAGACGCGCGGCAGCCAACGTCTCCAACGCCGCCAGCAGCCTTGAACGCGTCAGCGGCGGCGCAACACCCGTCTCGCACACAATCCCACGAGGCCCGTGTACCAGACGAGGCACGATCGACGCTTCTCACTTCGGTCACCGCGCCTGGCGCGTCAGACACGACCTGTCCTCGAAGTCCCACCCTGCCAGCAAAGGTCCAAGGGTCGGCACTACGACGACAACCGTCTCTCACGCACCACGCACACTTTACCCCCACGCAGCAGCTCCAGCGCAATATACAACCTCCTGTAGGACTGCGCTCGACCTACAGCACAAAACAACGAGTCTTGCGTCATCGTAGCCCTCCCCACGTCGGGTCATCATCGATTCCCAATGGCCAAGGGCGCAGTGAAACACAGCGAAAACACGTGGCGAGGTGGCACGAGGACAGAGCAACACTCGGAAAAACAAACCTCGAACAACCAGAGAGAGAACAAATTCTGTATCAACTCGCAGAGGTTTGCACACAAATGATGCGAGACAACCGTGG